TGAAAGAATTTAATGAGACTATCTACTGCCAGGGCGGCCTAGTGGTCCAGTGATTAGCGTGTCGACCTCACAGTGCAGAGGTACCGGGTTCGAGATTTTAATCCTCCACTTCACTGAGCATACCCAGATGCTCCACAGTGCGGGCCTGCGTGGGTTTTCCCCGGGCGACCCTTGTGAGGATAAAGCGGATCGGAAAATGGATGGATGGATGGATATCTACTGCCAAGTGAGTGGCAGAGACTGAGGGCTCAAACTGAAAGAGATTTTACTCCTCCCCTTCGCTGAGCATACCCAGATGTTCCATAGTCTTTCTCCCTTGTGATGTCTGCCCACCTGGACCTGCAGGGTCACTTGTCTGTGTTCCCCCATGCCCAGGGTTCGAGCTTCAAGGACCTAGCTTCCCTAGCAATGAAGATGAAGGCAAACATGGGCAAGCAGTTTAGCTGCTTTCTTGATAACAGTGACTCTAAGTCTTCACCTCTCACTGCTGCATGCTTCCTCGACCCGACAGTTGCACCTGAAGCGCTCCTTGTTCACAAAAAGCCAGAGGAGGGAGAAGAAGAATCCAAAGAGGGACCACAGAAAAAGTGGCCCAGATTCTCAGACTGTGGTCAGAAAATCTCTTGTAGGGGAACCTTAATAAGGCACACAAGAACGCATAATGGTGAGAAATCTTTTTCCTGTTCAGTGTGTGATCAACAATTCTCCGAAAATAACAGTTAAAACACACACCAGTGAGAAACATTTTGTCTGTTCAGATTGTGGCCAAAGATTCTCGTGGAAGTGTCAGATTAAGAATCACATGTGTGATGATGAGATGAACAGTTGTCAGTGAGTTTTGACACGTCACAAGGAAAGAGCTCAGATGAAGGCTGAAGTGACAGCCGAAACTGTCAGCTTGAAAAGGATTTTATTTCTTCACACACACAAAAAAACTGTTGTCTAATAAAAAAAAAGAAACGTTCAACTTATTTCAACTAATAAGACAAGATGAACGCCATAACATCACCATGTTTTTCTTCAATTTAAAAAGCTCAGCTACACCATCAGCGTCTCCAGCAGAAGAGTCTCTGAGTGAATTGTATGAGTCAAGTGAGAGCCGCCTTCTACGCCACCAACACGAGCATCTTTGCATCTCTCATGAGCAATGTTGATGAATGTTATTTACTGTATAAGGTTTTATAGTTAAACATTTCAGTAAATACGTGCACTGTTGTCATCTTGGTCTCAAATATGTAAAGTATAAATACTGTTTGCATCTTTAAAACATGCTGGTCCCCACATACACAAAAATTCCTAAGGTGATGCAAATCCTCCCTTCTCTTTTCACCTTTCGCATGGCGTTTATGGTCCCCTTTAACCATGAAAAACGAGGGATCCTGTTTTATGGTAAATACTGGACTCTCTGTGTTAAACATGTACATTTTCATTTAAAGCTTGATCACCACATTCCTCACCAGCACTCGTGTTTCTCGACCTTATCCTTCTGAGAGACTCTTTTACTCAAACCTAAGCAGGATAAAGGTTTCCCTCCTTTGTGGATTCTCATGTTTTTTTTTTAAACAGCTCTTATATGCAGAGGAATTCAAACAATAACAACACTACGTTTCGCGTTGCGATTAAGTTTGTTTGCAAGACGTTGCCGTACATCGTTGTTGCGGCCTGTCCCGACGCCGAACACGCTACTTATACCCGCTTCACTTAATTAAAAATTGGACGCTTCAAAATACCACCCCCTCTTCTTTCACTACAACTGAACGCACGGAAGTCTCGATGCAGTATGTAAATCCTTTATTGGACGATAACATCATTCGCTCAAGCTTTTTGGCCTAGTTTAGCTTACTTAGCCTAGCTTGCTAGCAAAGAAACGCATTTCGTCGCCCTGCAGAGATTGAGAGTGAGTGTGAAATGTAATGACTCATGTAAAAATGTGTGCAGGGGAACGGCAGATTACGAATATGATGATTTGCTCGGCGCAAAAGAGGAAGATGACGCTGGTTTCGAGAAGTTTCGAGTTTGGTCGACCAAAGCAGGTTTGGTACTTGTCGTTCTTTCGATCGATTGCAGGGGCCACCAACCGTTTTAAAAGTGAGAGCTACTTTTTGGTCGCTGCTATGGGCTCCCACTTTTATACACAATTTTGAAATAACGCATTTGCGCAGATTTCGTTTTATGAATGTTTTAATGATGTCTCTTCATACCTAAAACGGGACCAAGATGGCTGCTGGTTAGACAGGACCAAGATGGCTGGCTGCTGGTTAGATACGGTGCTGCCAGCACTTCCTATCCGACAAATATCATGAAGGTGATTTGTCATCCAATCTCCTTGTGATTTTTTTTTTTTACTTTGCAAGAAATTCATTCATTCATTCATTCATCTTCCAAACCGCTTAATCCTCACTAGGGTCGCGGGGGGGGGGGGGGGGGGGGGGGGAGGCTCGGA